TCATGACGCCTCAACATAGCCGAAGGACGATCGAAGGAATGAAAATTTAGGTCACGTTGGTACATTGTCTTTAATAGGAGTCATTCTTCACTTTGTGCGATTTTTCCATAAAACGTACATTTTCTTTGCACCACTTCCTGGCTGTCAGTTAGTCCGTTCTGTTGTGTTCTGTCGCTGCTCGCGTGACAAGCTTATGCTCTGCTGCACAGGTTTCTTGCTGGGCCCCATACCTGGCATGGACCCGTTTCCAGCTAGCATGCAGAGTTTCTACCAGATGAGACCAAGCAGAGCCCCTGCTGGAGCCCAGCGCCCGCCCAGGTCACGCCGATGCCCCGGTATTTGTCCAGCACGTGCCAGGCTGGCGCCCAGTTAGGTCATGGGCAGACAGCCTAGTTGTGGCCCAGCCGGGGCCCGTCAGAAAATGTAGCAAAGGCCATCTGGGACCGCGCTGGGTATCCTGTCAATACCCAGTCGGTCTGCCTGCCTGGGGCCCGGCCGGGGCCACGATAAAATAATGGCTAAGCCCGGGGGGGGGGGGGGAGAAAATGCACCGAGCGCTTCATAACGTGTCGTTGTCTCCACCCCAACGCTCATAGTCCACGCCGACTGAAACATCGTTAACAAGCCAGCACACAAACAAAAGGTTCAGTAACGGACGCCGGGTCATTAGTCACGAACTGGGTCCTCGCCGGGCGGGCATCGCTCTCCGCCAGTTCATCAACTTTTGCACCTTCCCACAACGTGCGCTGTTGCTCTTCGGTTGTTTCCCGAGCTGCAGTGACGCTCGTCAGCTACGTCCATGAAAAATTCCTCAACTCTCCTCCATCCCAAGACCTTTCCGTCAAGAAAGAGCTCAGTTTTCGCCGCTGGGTTAACGGGCAGCATCGCTGCAGGTACGTGTTTTCTGAGGCGCTCCGCCGCTTTGTACAAGGACGGCAACACCCGTAGACGACTGGCGGGGGGGGGGGGGACATCTCAGGTCCATCCTTTCCAAGCAACGCCATGAACGAAATCTGAAATGTCCACGTTTCTGAGGAACGTATCACCGACGCACCGTCTCCGTTGACAGGTGGCGCCACCCGCACCGTCACTCCATCGCCTCTCCCAGCTGCTGACGCACCTTTAAAGTTGGCCGCGACGCCCTTGACGTAGTTGGACCAGGCGGGCGGGCCTGGGGTGAGCGGGGCGGCGGCCGACGGCGGGGCGAACTGCACGGACAGCGGCTGGTCTGCGCCGGCCGCCAGCGTCGTCACGTGACACTGGCCCGAGGCGGACGGACCGCCCACGACGACCGTGACGAGTGGCAGCGCCTGCGAGGGCAGCAGCCGTCACGTTAGACTGGTCAGGGGCGGGGTCAGATGTGTCAGGTACTGTCAGGGGGGGGGGGGGGGGTAGATGTGTCAGGCTGGCCAGATATACTGTCAAGGGGCGGGATCAGATGTGTCAGAGTGGCCAGATATACTGTCAAGGGGCGGGATCAGATGTGTCAGAGTGGCCAGATATACTGTCAAGGGGCGGGATCAGATGTGTCAGAGTGGCCAGATATACTGTCAAGGGGCGGGATCAGATGTGTCAGAGTGGCCAGATATACTGTCAAGGGGGCGGGATCAGATGTGTTCAGAGTGGCCAGAGGTACTGTTGGGGAGGGGAGGGGCGGGGTCAGATGCATCAGACTGGGCCGAGGTACTATGAAGGAGCAGAGTCACCACGGGGCCGAGACTACGGGCTATGTCAGACCGACATGCAAAGCCCAAGGCATGGCGCACTGGACTGACCAGGGATATGTTCCGTGTCCCGGATCCAGGAGAGGGGCACGGGACACGGCCGACTTCAGACTTCACCACGGGAGACAGAGGTCGGGTCACCCGGGACCAGACGCCCTCCTGGACTGCGGCAGATCAGGAACGGCATTCCGGACGGCGGCAGATCAGGAACGACATCCCGGACGGCGGCAGGTCAGGGACGGCATCCCGGACGGCGGCAGGTCAGGGACGGCATCTCGGACGGCGGCAGGTCAGGGACGGCATCTCGGACGGCGGTAGGTCAGGGATGGCATCACGGGACACCTTACTCTGCTCGAAGCGGTGGCTGTCACGCGGCGATAAAGACAGAGGACAACCGGGGCGTTCTGCATGGGAGGTGCTGAGGGCAGCGTAATTAGCAACTGAGCTTGATTCCCTGCGAGGCTGTAGTTTCTGGGCCACTTATTGCCATTGTGGTCGCTTTTCATGTGCGACGACGCGCGCCGCGCAACCCCAAAAATTTTGAATTTCATCACTTTGGCTGACTTCCCGGCCTTTGTTCAGCTTCGTACCTCCGTGGCAAAGGAGGCCAAGTGGCTCACGGGCCGAAAGTGCGGAATCATTCTTAATTCCGCATGCATTTCGTTTGATATAATCCCTCATGTCTATTGTCCGTTAGCTTTGATGATTTCACGCGAGTTACGAAGTTTGCAGTGGAGTATCACAACGCTACTCCAAATACTTACACGACTTATCATCCCCCACCATCTGAAGCGAAACCCATGCGGAGGACCGCAGCGATAAACACATTTGTCCACAATCTGATCCAGTCCAAATAAATAAAACAACAAGCTTTGCACGTTCTGTTCTGGTTCTCTGCTGTCATGCGTCCCTAGTCTTGTCGCTGTCACGACGGCCAATGTCGCCGCTGCAGGGACGAGTGACCTCATGAGTAAGCGGTCTCACCGCAGTCAGATGGGCCGCTGCTCGCGGCACCCACGGCCTCTGCGCTACTGCAGTCAGATGGGCCGCTGCTCGCGGCACCCACGGCCTCTGCGCTACTGCAGTCAGATGGGCCGCTGCTCCCGGCAGCCACGGCCTCTGCGCTACTGCAGTCAGATGGGCCGCTGCTCCCGGTAGGCACGGCCTCTGCGCTACTGCAGCAGATGGGCCTGCTGCTCCCGATAGGCAAGGCCTCTGCGCTACTGCAGCGTCCATGAGTGGACGAATGAGCGGGACGGGGCAGTCTCACTGCAGTCAGGATGGGCCGCTACTCCCGGCAGTCACGGGCCTCTGCGACTACTGCGGTCAGACGAGCCGCTGCCTGCAGCGTCCACGGCCTCTGCGCTACTGCAGGCTCTCGAGTGGACGTGCGGCGTCTTAGCGCGATTAGTAAATAAAGCCTGTCGACGTGATGGAAACGTGCGCGCCAAGGCCGTGCGCTGGGACCACCCCCGACTCATCGTCCGAATGTACCCGCTGACCTTGAGACGAGGACAACGGGACCAGACTCCAGGAAACGGGGGCGCGAGGCACACAGATGGGACCGGGGCGGTTATTCGGCCGACAGGTGCGCAGAGCGGCGGGTAGATGTATAAATGTAAGAAGATGGCCGAAACAAGAAACTTTGTGAAGTCTGCTTTTTATCAGCTAAAAATCCATTGTCAAAAGTCGTTTTGCTGTTATGGGGGTAAAATGACCTCAGACGTCAGCGCGCCTTAAAACTCCAATCAACAACAAACGTAAGGATTCATCCGTACCGTTCATGCATTCATTAACATTCATATTAACGCAAGTCACGGACAGCAGGGTCACGCCATGAAATGGACGCAAGCTTTTCATCACGGAGGACGTTTGTAAGTAGCCAGTTCCTGATCAGCCCGGACTTTACTTTCACTTTCAAAGCTCGAGCACAAAAAGGCACGCTGTGTGACGTAAAATTCAAAAATTACCGCGGAAATCGCGTGGTGAAAGGGGCCACTTACACGTGCGCTACTAAATTGAAAATAGGCCAGTTAGGCGTGCGCCACTAAATCAAGCATGGGCTCATGCTCACGCAATCGTCGGTACCTTTTCGCATAGCAAGATCATATCAGCTGGCCTTGATCCTAGCAATGTCTGATAAGGCAGCAACGTCTTTAAAAGCGCCAGCTTTGCTCGCCTTCAAGTCCACCGGCGCACGGGATCTCAGTCATGCACAACGTCCTTCGCTGAACTTTTTAGCACACCACACGAACAAATTACAGATATATAGAACAAACGAGGCCAAACAGACACAGAGGATGACACTTTGGATATTATCACCTGCTGATAAGCCCTGCCAGCGTACGGGACAGATTGTACAACTTTGCCACAATCAATGCCAATACTGCGCACCTGGACAGGGACGTAGGGTTTTCTTTCTGCATCGCAGTGTGTACGCGACATTTTGGTATTGAGTGCCAACTGAGGGTAAAAGGATGCCGAAATATCGCAGTGCAGCTGCATTATAGCGTCAATGGCGTCTGGGTGCTATTCTTGCATCCGGAACCCAT